CCCCCTCCTCTCTCTCTCTCTTTCGACAGTCCGGTCAAGGATGAAGATGAAGATGAAGATGAAGATACAGACCTCCTACACAAGAAACAGACAGAGAGCCCAAGACACAGTCGATTTTTCTTCTTCTTTTACTCCGATGAAAATGAATAGAGAATGCTGTAAAAGGAACCAAACCTTCCACCCAGAGAGCTGCTACCAACAACTATCACATACAAACATACGGCCTGCCTGAAAGAAAGACTGGGCTTGGCTTGACTTGGCCTCTTACATCGACCACGGGTATTCCAAGATCCCTCCTCCCCTCTTCCACTCGTAGATACATACATGCATACGTACATATATGGAGGAAGGGAGGAAGGTACTCGTGAGTATCGTAGCAGCGCAATCAGGTAAGATCAACTCGGCTGATCTGCGTCATGAGAAGGGGGAGAAGAACAGGACATGCGGGAAAGGAGGACGAGCGAGAGGTACGGTAATATGAGAGTTGTGGTGTGGTGGAGGAGGAGGTCTGATGCAGTCCTCCTAACCGGTATGGTACCTATTGTATGAAAATATGATGTGGTATAAAACGCAATCAACACAATTTCTCTGTAGCCGCATGTACAACAAAAGTGTAGGTAGGAAGAAGCCGCGTCTCCTCTATCTCACAAGAAAACTGACAACGCCGCTTCACAACGTACTGCAACGCACACCTCTAAGTAAAAAAAAAAAAAGAAAAGAAAAGAAAACTTTTCATCGTCCCGATTCGTGCGTTCGTTGGTGTTGGCTCGTTCTTTCGTCCTGGGTGAGATGCCGTGTTGCAAATGAGAGCAGCAAAATGCTCGTAACCAAACAAACTCCGCCCCTGTCCCATACCATGACCAGATCCCCACGCTCAAACGCCTTTATCGCACCCAATCCGGCCCAGCAGCTCCTTCCTATCAGAGTGTCCCGGCAAACTGACCCCGCTCGCGCTGCTCCCAGGACCTTTCTTGTACTTACTCGGACTGAAATTCCGGCCATTGAGGTTGATGGACTCAACGCCGACTTCCTCCTCGTAGGGCGGTGGCTCCATCTCACCGATGTGCTCAATGGTAGAAGTGATCTTCTCGTCCAGAAGACCTTCTTCATCATCTACTTCATCATCACTCCTCACATCATCAGCGTCGCCACCGTTTAGCACGCGGATGGCTACTTTGACGATCATGGAGAACCAGACGATGGTTAGGAATTGGAGGAAGAGGAGGGCGCTCAGAAAACCCCACTTGATCTTGTCGTTCCAGCATACGATGCCTTCGGGGTTGCGGAACGGGTCTATGAGATGGGTGAAGTGATCTGGAGGCGGGAAGGGCCCTTTAATAGACCCGTTCTTGCCGCTGTAGCAGCCATAGGCGATGGTGGCGGGGATGTCGGCCCAGGCGGAGTAGCAGATCATGCAGAAGATTATGTGGCGTGTGATGAACCAGATGGTCATGAAGAGCCCAAATAGAACGTCACAGATGGTGGTGTAGCCCAGGTACTTCAGGCACTTCGCTAACTAAGACACATCGTCAACACTAAAGTTGTACATGGCTGAAAATGCACTTACAGGAAAGACTAGGTCCACCGAGTCCATCGTACAGAGAATCAAGTTGGCTACCTTGGTTTGGTGATAACCGTAACTTGTGAATATCAATGCCGTTGTAACGATGTGATGTGCGAGCATCTGCCAATGGTCCTTTCTCCTCTCCTCAAGATTGACTATTAAGATTTGCTGGAGCCAGAACGAGTATTGGACCAGGATATACCACTTTCGCAGTCCATCCATCTCCCGGTTTGGCCAATTGGTCCAAAGCTCCTTGAAGTTGAACAAGTAGTCGGAGTTGGCCAGAAGGTACTGTCATTGGTTAGAGGAGAAAAGGGAAATTTTCGCTCAATTCAGAAGGAATGAGAACATACTACTCCCAGGCACCAGAAAGTTGAGGCATAGATCCAAAGCCAAGCCTGTTCAGCGAACCTGGTCTGCTCCCTCTTACCCTGTGCGCCCCCTTTTTTCGCAAGCGGAGTCAATATGTACTCCATGACCGCCGCGCGCAGACCAGTAAAGACAACAATCCAAAAGGACACCATCCAAGCATCGTTCCACCCCGCCCGATATTCGCCTGAGCTTGGATTGTAATACGAGAGTTCAAAGAACTTGCGGGCATGTCGGCGAGCTCGAGGAAAGCATAAGTGAGTAAGGGAGAGCAGAACCAGGAGGTTAACAGAGAGGCCTATTTCATTATCAGTGCTAACTCTTGGCCTTGCGACTGGGGAAAAACACTATACCGATCTGGTGCTCAACAATCCATCCGCAGATAATCTCCAATGGGCCAACCTCTCTCCTCTTGATATTTCTTCTTCCCGTCATCATAGGCGCAGCGTACTCTCCTCCTCCTCCATCATCGTTCATGCCTATCTTCTGCTCAATCCCACTAAAATTTTTCCCGTTCTGATGTAACCATTCGTGCGCCTGCTCGGGTTTCTGATGATGGGTCTTAATGGACGCTGGAGTGCCGCTCATTGTGTATCTATCTTTGCCCGTTGCGCGCGCAGACGGATTTCGAGGGAAGTAGCGAGTCGAATTGAGACCAATTGAAGAGTGCGAAGAGCTCTCAACGGTCGGTAGTGAATCTAGCAGTCTGGGGGCATGAATCCTAAAGGATAATAGGTGAATGAAATGTGAACGAATGTAGTGGTTGAAGTTTCGCTTTAAGGGATTTGAAATCGCTGGATTGCTTTAGCAAAAGCGGTGTGGGGAATTTGGCCTGCCAAAATGTTTGGGTTCAAGCGCTCGACGCACTCCGTGGCCCGATCATGGCTGATATATGGGAGCTCGAAATTAGCGCGAACTTAATTTACTGACGCAGAATACTCCGTAAAGTACATCAAGTACAAAGGTAAGCTGGGTCAAGGACTTTGAAGCCGATGAGTTCATAAATTATTATATACGTATTAGTCTGGCAGACTGGCCCTTTTGATACTATTCATGTATCTACTGTTCACCCCTGCGTCACGCACAGCATACCTACCTAGTAGATACTAGTACCTGTTTTTGTCTGCTAGCCCCTAATACTACGTAAATAGCATCTGGAATTTGTTCCGAAAGCTTAAGATTGCTGACAGAGCGTCTTTAGACTTCAGATGACAGGTCGATCTCCCACCAACCTGTCAGCTAAGGAAGATCAGATTACTATTACGGATATCCGATGGTCTGGCCGTTGGGCACGTTGATGGAATTGTTTCCTGTCTGCCAAGAACCTTGATGAAGACCCGGACGCAGTTATGGTTTGAACCGGATCTTGAAACGACTTGTCCGTAAAAGCAGGGCCAAGGGTCTTTCTAATATTATATCCGCCAATGCTTGACACGGTTAGGAATATCGGGTTGAGGTCATAATGCTCTTTTGGCCAATTTGATTGAGAAGAGAAGAATCCCAGGCATGCTCGTTAACAGTTCCATTTCAATCCATCAAAGTCTTAATTCAATGAGCGTGTTCCTCCCTGCATCCCTTCCTGCGTCCAACCTCATCCCATTGAGCTCCCCTCCACCGATCCAAAAACTAGGAGAAAGAGCCACTTAGTTATTCTGCTGGCTATTAAGGATCCTCAGAATGTTGAGGAACAAGTTGATAACATCTAGGTAAAGAGAGATCGCAGCCGCAATCTCCTCCTCCACATGGTAATGTCTCATGATGAGCTGGGTATCAACCAATATATACCCCGAGAATATCAGAGCTCCAATTCCCGAATAAGCCAGCTCTGTGGTACTGTTATGGGGAAGGAAGGCAGCCATAAATCCAAAAAGGATCAAGAACCACAGTGCGCCAAACAGGTATGGCATCCATGATGTGAAGTCATACTTGGTCTGGCATGCGAAGAGAGTGAGGGCGACGAAGATTCCGGCTGTCAAGAGAACAGCCTGGAGAACGATCCGGGATTGATAGAATGAGACGATGACGGATACTGAATATGCCTCGAATGCCGTGAATCCACTATCGAGTATGTCAGCTGCGAGTGTACTTAACAGCCTAGAATCAACGTACCCCAAGAAGAGAAGGTTCATAGGATAAGACTTGCGTTTCCAGTAAGTCAAGAGCATGAAACCGATAGCACCAAGCAACTACGGAACATTAGCGATTTCACATAAAGCAGAACTCGGGGTAGCATACCGAACACCACATCATCCACTGGTTACTCTGGATCCACCCTTTGTACGCCTCGCTGAAGAAAGAAACAGAGCTCAAGACCGCAGTAGCAATGAGTTGTACGGAGAGAATCGCATAGACCTTCCTCACAAACGCCATCCGGATATCAATCGAGGCTTCCGCCACCGACCCTCCGAACTTGAAGTCATCGGGAATGTTGTCCTCGCTGCTTCGCGGACCTCCTCCTAGAAGAGCCGCTTGGTCCATCGAGCTGGATTGCTGGTCGACGTAAGATGGAGGTGCTTGGGAGTAGTGGGCGGTGTTGTCATCGAGGGAGTCGCGCTGAGGCGCTGGCTGGTACTTTCCAGACATCGCGGATACCTGTTCAGAGACAAGGGAATTTTTCTGGACGAAATGATGTTTGCGAAACTTCTGGGTATGGCCTGTAGTTAGACGACGATATGTATGGATGTGAATTGCGATGGGGAGCAGACTGGGTGACCTAGGTGGCGCGATGATGATGAAGACGGAGGTATCGGAGGTATAAAACAACCAACTGCGGAGGCGGGGCGCGCTAGGGATTTATCAGCTCTCAGCCTCAACTGTTTGACTGCAAGTCTCGTTTTTATTAACTTTCCATTATCAAGGCTTGCCATATTCTTGCTCCAGTCCCTGCAAATATGAATTACAGAATTATTCTTATGTTATTGAAAAGCAATTGAGACAGCGTAACAGATTATCTTGCAAGAGATAAAGGAGAAGTGCCTACCAAACGTTTTCCAGTAATCCCTAGATAGTCCGGTTTGAAGCGAGTGGTCCCGGAATTTTTAGGGGGATTTGTTATCTACTAATTAGTTTTGATTCACAATAGAGCATGAACTATTCTGGCATCTCCATTTGCTATGACAAAGGAAATAAATATACAATAGTACCCATGAAGCACTCACAGCAATCCACTTGCGCCTCAATCACAAGAAGGATGATGAAGGGAAAGGACTACTCATTAGAAGTCGATAAGAAAAAAACCTGATTAGCGTTCGCAGCCCGAATGGTTCTTGCAAATGCCGTAAACGAGTCTCTCAAAAGGGAAATCCCAAGCTCCGATATCTCCCGTTGACACCCTAGATTTCCATCCACAGACCGGTTCGCCGCCCAATTTTGGCTTCATCTGTGGTGAGGATTGATCTCAACTGTCCGCAAACTATCGTAAACGTCATCTCTATGGCTCGGAGTCGGTGGCTGCCCCCCCACCATTCGTGGCTTCCAGATGTGCGCTCTGTTCTCGGTGCATTCTGGCTTCGATTTCCTTCAGTTGACTCTCACGGGCCAATAGCTCCTGTCTCTTCTCGTTGATCTCCCTTTGTACCTTGACCTCGATCTCCCGGAGCTTCTCCTCTTCGCGTCGGAGTTGCTCCTCCTTTAGACGGACGGATTGAGAAGCAAGATCCTCGGGATTCATGGAAGAGTCCCTATGGGTTTGGTTAGCTTTTGAAGAGACATTTAAACAAGGCAGCTTACGCTCCAGCGCCACCCTCAACGCTCTTGCTAAGTTTCTCTGTACGGTAATTTTCGTAGAGGAAGTCGTGCGTGATCTCCTTCAAATCTGCCAAATGGCTGTGGAGAAGTGCGCTGCGAATGGCCAGGAAGTCGGAGTGTCTTGGATTATCTACCTCTACAACACCCCATGGGTATTGTCGAGCCCGGACCTTGCGACCACCAATCTCGACAACCTCTTCGGACCCCACAATAGCGAATGGCATCAGACCACGGAGTTCAGCGTTCTCCTCAACGGTATCTTCGTCATCCTCTTCGATGTCGTACGGGAAGTTGTAAACTGGGATTCTGTAGTGCTCGATATCCTCCATCACAAGCTTCTTCGACTCGGCGAGTTCAGCTGGTGTAAGAGAGTCGGCCTTTCCAATGACCGGGATGACATTGACACGGGGAGAGAGACGCTTCATCAGTTCGATATCCAGCTCGCGGAGACTAAATGTATTAGACATTGACTAAACATCTATGGCTCATTTACTCACCCGTGACCGGTAGGGGTGATGAAGTATAGCAGGGCATGGACACGATTGTCGCGGAATCGGGGGTTGCGCTTGATACGTGACTCTTCGGCAAGAATATCGTCGTACTGTCGCTCAAGGTACCCCACAATTTCGCCGAAGCTTCAGTTCGTTAGCGTTTTTACACCTACCTATCACAACTATATGCCCTACCTTGCCTCGTTATCAATCAGGTCTCCGAAGCCTGGAGTGTCGACAATAGTGAGAGAGATTCGGGTTCCCTCCTCGTCCAGTTCCAGTTCTGCAGCAAAGTCAGGCCTGATGCTCAAGATAAAAGAGGTTGGATTCCTGATTCGCACCAACGTTGATGGGCTTGATTCGGACGCCCTCTTCGACGTGAGCGTTTGTCGCATCGTCCGCATCCTTTCCAACGAGAACCTTCTTTCCGCAGAGTGTGTTGACAAAGGTAGTTCGGCCTAGTTATATCGGTCAGTTGCCAGGGTAATTGTATTGCGATCGTTGTCCTACGTACCTGTGCCCGAGGCACCACAAACCATCAAACAGAACTGTATACCCTTCTTGACGTTCTTCTTTCTTCGGATCTTTATCTGTGCGCAAGCGGAAATCAGTACTGCATGATACTGCCAGGGAAGGTTGTGGCCAGAAAAGGCAAAAGGAGATGGCAAGCAGCCGCGGAACATAAACATACTGCGCCCAACGGAGAAGACATGATGGTGACAGAACAATTGAAACGAGCGATATTATCTCTGTGAAGTTCCTCTTGGTTGATGGGTATCGGATTGAAAGGATGGCCGTGATGTGAAGTCGTCTGATGTGTGATATGAGGTGAGAAGTCGAGCACTCGATCGCAAAATTTGGGGATTAAGGAAGGGCCACAGAACTACTCAGGGGCTCCTCCCCAAGGTAGTGAGCAGGATGTGGCAAGGATGCTCAACGAGGCTGAAGTCCCACTTTTTTCGGCACTTTACTTGATAGTCCTACCTACCTTGCTATATAGTTTTCTCCGACCTAAAATCGTATCTCGTCTTGATTCCATACGAGTAGTTTGTTGACACCTCCACCTCAATTCCGAAATCTGTTTACCCACAGAATTTCAATAACATGGGATCGGAGCAAAGCCTTGAGTGAGGTACCGGTAGGTAGGTACCTTATCGGACACTAAGCTCCTGGATAAAGGCAATCCCGATGTTTCCAAATGACTGAAGCCGTAACAACCATATTATTCTGACTCGGGCGACAGAGTCAACAACAACATGCGCTCGATATTTTAATACCTGCGGATCCCCTTACAACTTACCTAGAAAATACTCCGCGCAAGTCTCGCAACTATGAATACCAGGCCCGCCATCGAGAGCGAAAGTAATCCCGTAGCCTTGTCCGCAGCCTTCAACCACGATGCCAGCTGTTTCGCTGTTGGACTCGACACTGGCTTCTGCAGTGAGTAGCCTGATCTTCCCGAGTACGTTTGTAGAAAAGATTCTGACATTATCTCTCAGTATTCAACTCTGAGCCATGCCAGCTCCGCGTCTCTCGAGGTCTGCTTCTCCGCACACGGGTCCTAGCAATACATACTGACGAGCCAGATTTCAACGGCGGAATAGGGGCGGCACAGATGCTTGGAAAAGCAAACTTCATTGCACTGATTGGAGGAGGAAAGCAACCAAGGTTTCCGCAGAATAAAGTCAGTTAACTGTGAATAACAGGCAGGACAGGTGCTGATTGATGCTTTCCACAGGTGGTTATTTGGGACGACGCGAAGCAGAAAATTGCAATACAAATACCCGTTACTACAACGGTCCGCGGAGTGCGGATTTCGAGAACCCATATTGTTGTTGCCTTGCAAAACAGTGTTCGAGTCTACAAATTCCAAAGCCCTCCAGAACTGTGGTCCGTCTTCGAGACTGCCGATAACCCTTTAGGTATTTGCTGTTTGACTGCAAAGTCTCTGGCATTTCCCGGAAGAACACCCGGTCAGGTTCAGCTTGTCGAGATTGCCACAGGCAACGTCAGTATCATACCAGCTCATGGCTCTGCACTGAGAGCTATTGATATCAGTCGGGATGGTGAGGTCTTGGCTACCGCAAGCGAGACTGTAAGAGGATCGCGTTCAAACTGGGAAACTTATACTGAAAATTGTAGGGTACCTTGGTCAGAGTATTTGCAACGAGCAACTGTGCTCGGATAGCAGAACTGAGACGTGGTGTCGATCACGCGGCTATTTATTCACTTTCCATTGCTCCTTCTGGTCAACTACTAGCTGTCACATCCGATAAATCTACACTCCATGTGTTCGATATTCCACATCCGTCAAAACCACCTAAAAGCGAAGCCACGACGCAGAATCGGAGACTCACGACAATGGGAGCCGGAGGAGGAAGTCCGGCCTCAAGTGATGTAGACAACAGCCAGAAATGGGGAATTCTCGGACGCATTCCTCTCTTACCGAGGGTATTTTCAGATGTGTATTCCTTCGCCTCGGCACATTTCGAAATCGGCGAGGAACCACTATACGGAAGTTCGACCCCCTTGAATAGTGATGCGGCATTTCGACCGCCTAAAGGCATCCTCGGCTGGACGAGCGATCACAGCATCATCGTCATCGGAGCTGGTCGGGATGGTAGATGGGAGAAGTTCGTGATTGCGGAGGGCGAGGATGGGCGTCGGTACTGCGTCAGGGATGGCTGGAAACGGTATCTCGGCTTGAACTGAGCAGGCTTCAACATGGTTGCTATTTAGCGAGGCGTACTGGTCTCACGGTTGAGCGTTCTGGGCACAGGCATAAGGATAGGGATAGGCATGGTCGGCTTCTCTCTTTTGTTTTTGGTATTACAAGCAAAGGAGTGGCTATAATTCTTCAGTAGCTGGGAACGAGCTGCTGTTGCGCCATGGTAACTTGGACATAACTTCGTTGACTCTTCTTCCTACGAATACCGTCTCGACGAGTGCCGCCTGTCTTCCACTGAAGCTTCTCTTCTCCTGGATCGTTCCTTATACCTCTTTTGACCTCCTCTATCCCGACTATCACTCGTTGGGCTTTCCTTTCTGTGATTTGACTTCTCCTCACGGTCCTCACTACGTTCGGCCCTCGACTCGCCATTTCTAGGAGACCGCTCTCTCGAATGTGACCTCTTCTCTCGGCGATGACTCCGGCGATGAGAGCGCCCACCTTCTTTCTCCTCCTCATCCCTCGGCCGCCGTGACCTATGGTGATGATGCCTCGACTTAGACTTCTCCCCCATCTTCCCATTTTTCAATCTCGCCAAAGCCATAGTAACCTCCTCCTTCTTCTCCTCCACCAAATACGACTTCATAGGGTCCTCATCATCATGGTCCTGAATCAGCTTCGCTAGTTCGCGTTCCTCCTTGAGCATAGGTCTCTCCCTCTCGCTCTCACTATCGCTCTCATCAGTCCGTCTCCTCTTCCTCCTACTTTCCTGCTCGTCCACCTCAGGCGGCCGTTGCGTAAGATCATGTCCCTCTTCCTTCTCATCATCCTTCTTCTTATATCTCGTATGATCCACTTTCAACGTGCGGCCCATAATCACAGTTCCTCCCAGGTTGTCAACTGCGAGGTCTGTGCTCCGCTGGTCTTCATACTTCAGAAATGCAAAGCCCTTCGACTTGCCAGTCTCCTTGTCGCGAATGAGGTTGATGTAAGTCGGCTCACCGAATTGAGAAAATATCGTGACGACATCGCCCTCGGAAAGCTCGAATGGGAGACCGCCAATGTAGATGTAAGCTGTGTCACGGTAGTCTGTGTGCCATGATGCTTCTGGGGAGCTGCGAGCCTCCTTAGCAAGGCGAATATCAGACGATGAGGATAAACTTACACCCCAGCTTCGAGCTCCCGCTTGTTGAGCTCCTGGATCTGTCGAATGCTCTGCATCGTGAAGTTGTGAAGTCCGAATTAGGTTGGGGCGCAAAATTCTGGTGTTTAGACCTCAGCCTTGTGATATATAGCCGATTTGGGAAATGGGACTGCCTAGGGCGACCGTCGCCTCGCGTCATTGCGTGTTTACTCTTCACAACTTTATGAACAAATGAACAACTCGCATGTGGAACTCGCATTGAATTCGAACAAACGAATAATTCATTCCGGAACGACAAGCCTTTTACGCATGAACTGATAGTGTTGGATGTTCAACCAGCAAACATCGATCGAAAGCCCCAGAACAATTTACTCCTCCACCTGCTGATTTCTTCTTGCCACGATCATGGCGGCTACCAACTCAACCTCAATCGATACTGAGAGGCCGAAAAGCTCGGAGAAGAACCTGTGGTCTTCTTTGCTGGATAGTGTGGCCAGTGGGAAGCGACTGCCGGAGAAGAATATCCTTGTCTTAGGTGAGCAAAGACGCTCGTGTTGATAACTATATCCTGACATTGAAGTAGGAGGATCTACCGAATCGCAGAGGGAGTTTCTTGAGGCTCTATCCACGGAAGATACAAGGAGGAATCAGGACCGGCATAGCAGCAGACAGCCTCCTGTAGCCAACAGTTTCGCCCTGGGATATACGTATCAGGATGTTCTTGATGCGGATCACGAAGGTGCATTTGTCCGGAAGCTTTCAAGGTAGAGTCTAGCTAATTCTCTGCAGATATTCTTGCTCGTATCTCAATATACCTCCTCACCGACCCCTCGCCCTCCTTTACACCTCTGCTGCAACCCCTGTTAACGCCGCAAACTATTCCAAACACTCTTATCGTTGTGCTGTTGGACTGGTCTCAGCCGTGGTACTGGCTCAAACAATTGCGCGACTGGGTACGCCTTCTGCGGACCCTTCTTGTCTCATTGGATGGACACTGCAAGGAAAAAATGGAAGAGGTTATGATCAATTGGCGGGACAGAGGGCGTGGTGGGCACAGTCTGGATGGTGGAGGTGTCAACAATCCGTCGTCAGAGGCGGATGTTAGTTTACCGCTGGGGCCGGGAGAATGGGAGGAAGCTCTGGGACTTCCGCTGTGTGTTGTATGCCAGAATGTGAGTATCCCCAAAAGAAGACTTCTGGTCTCGTTATTTACTCCGTTTACAGTCGGATCGGATGGAAGTCTTGGAAAAGGAGCGGTCTTGGAAGGAAGAAGAATTCGATTTCGTATTGCAGTCTCTACGGACGGTCTTGCTAAAGCGTAGGATACTAGGCGCTGGAAGAAGACATGATGCTAATAGAGTTCTCAGATGGCGCATCTCTCATCTACACTACTCCCTCGGTCATGAGTCCACTTCAAAGTCTCATTCATTCGTCTCTTGGGATACACTCTCTGCTAAAACGGCAGCCCCTCAAGCACAATATCATTGACCGTGACAAGGTTCTCGTACCACCAAACTGGGATTCTTGGGGCAAGATCCGTGTGCTCCGGGAAGGTTTTGACGTCGAAGCTATCAACAACGGCTGGTCTCTTGATATTGAAGAATCTTACGAGCCGGTTCTTGATGACCATTCAGCACCGGAGCACGAGGTATCACCAGTATCCGGAGGTGCGGTGGGCACATATCAAGAAACTATCCGCGACCCCAGTCTTGATGCTCTTCAAGCAACATCTTCGGAGAACAACGGCCACAAACTAGAAATATCTAGCCCGGATGCTCAGACGTTCTTGGCCTCACAAATCGAATCCCTCGACCGGATTAAACAAGGTGCTGAGCCGAGTAGTATGGATAGCAGCCGACTTGTTCGTGGCCGGCAGTCTGCTCAGTCTGGAATCGAGGAGGGTGACGAAGATCATTACGGTGAGGCGCGTGTCAACGAACACATTGGACCTGTGCAGTTTAATATGGGCGGTATCCAGGTAGATGCGGACGACATGCTGCAGCGGCTGAAGGTAAGATCCGCCACACAACCCCACCGCTTTCAATTCCTAACAACCAGCAGGATCGCCAGACATACCAAACGCCCGAACCAGAGGTACCAGGCGGCGGAGCCTCCCCAGACGGGAAGAACCAAAACGAAGCCCTTGCATCCTTCTTCGCCGGCCTCATGAAGAGAGGCGGCGGTAGCGCAACAAACAGTCCAAAACCTGGCGCTTCGTAGCAAGGCGAAGACAGCTTGTGATTGATGTTTATGCAGTGTATTTGACATCCCGTGGGTCGGAGTTTCAGGGGCTGGATTCGGTAGATGAAAGTGATTTGCTAGTTGCCGAAGAAAGGATTGCGGCTCTTGCATGATACCCAGCGGCTTGGTGTATGAATAGCTTTCGAGAGGAGAATCTGATACCAAGTTCTTGTCGGTCCTTGGACAATTATTTCATTTCTACATGCCATGGTGAGTCTAGAAAACCTGTGTTACATTAACTTGCCGTGAGAAGTTACCAGCTGTAGTAGATAAATGTGGGAGGTCACGAAAGTCACATCTCATCTGTTTAAGGCTGAATTGCAGCTCTCACGCTTCATCGGCCGCAGCAGCCCGAAATCCAATCTCGCAGCTCCTCTAATGTATTGCAAGCCCTACTTAGGGATTCTTTGGTCCAGCGCAGTATTCGCAACATCATGTACTTGCAAAGAGGTTGTCGCTGGAAACCGCGTTTGGTCCGAACCTTTGAACGTGATCGAAATACCTGTGATCCAAATATCTTTTCGCCACTTCATACAAAATCGCAGGCGGGTATAAAGAAAGCTGATCGAAACCTGGTTTTCAACCCCATTTTCAGGTTTCCGCGCTAATTATCAAGGTAGACCTTGTTAGATAAATGTTTTAATTCAACATAAACTTCCCTCATTCTCCTTTTAGCTTTAAAATACTTTTTATATTATTATTTAATAGTCAGCGCACTGACTGTTATCTAATTACGAAGGAGTCTGCATGAATATAATAAGGCTATTTTTGGTGGTCGTGTAAAATGCAATATTCAGAATACTCTCGATTAAACAGCCACTCATCTCGTAAGGTTTCTACGATGTTGTTATTGTGAAAACCACTATATTTGAAAACAATTTCCGATGTTCGCTACGCGATTTCAACAAAACCACGATAATTGCGCTGGACCAAACATATATGGCCAAGATAGCCAGTCCTTTGGCCACAATCCTTCGATTGCGGCTAAGTTGAACTTGGTCAACTTCTCCAGGGTACAGCCTGGAAATCTTCATTATAAGGCGACCGGGGATTTTTTGGGTCAAGCATCAGGATCACGTTATACCCTCTTTATTCCCATTACCTCTGGAACAAGTCAAAATATATAGACAGCAGATATACACCGGAAAAGATCCATGTGGCAGGCGACTGGCATGCAGCCTCCTATTTCAAGTTTCAACATCAAGATACAGGCAGCTGTGTGGTAAAGGCAAACTTTCTCACTTTTGATGTTCATACCTGGGTTTTGAATCAATCGAGCGCATAAGCGCCTGGTGAGATCTTACTTCCAATGCAGTCGAGTGTATTTTCAAATTCCCTAGCTTGAATTTTGTGCTCCGGTCTGCTTCCTGCTCATATGGCTCTGTTTCTGCTCACTCGCTGCTCACATATCCAATGAATCTGCGACTCGCTTCGGGTCTTCGAAGCTCACTCAAGTCTTTGCTTACTCTCGTTCCAAGAAGTAGCGGGATAGAAGGAGATTAGACGCTAGACAAGAGAGTATGCACGATGCTTGCCGGAATACGATTCAGTGGTTGCGGCAAGTACAGGGAGTTGGCCTTGAGCAGCAACATTAGCGTAGGTCACTGGACACGTGACCGGCGACTTCCTTATAGGGAACCACTCCCTAGAACCTTAATAGTAATCAAGCATCAACAAAACAACCAATCTAACAATCAAGCCTAGGATATATCACAACACATGTGTTACCAAAAATGCTCTTCTTCTGGTCCTCCTGCGTATCCGCCGCATCGCGCCTAATGTCCTCTTTTTAAACATCTCCCAGCCTAATCTTACCTTACCAAGTCAATCCAAAGCCCAGCAGCTGTTCCTCGAAAATTTTCACAGATTCCACACTACAGCCCCCTTACCACCCGGCCAAAGTCGCGCTCCTGCGCCGCACTTCTTGCTTCGTCGCTTTCACCGCTGCATTCTCAGTCTTTGGCTGTTCATAGGCTTATCTTCGCTCAGCCTGCTGAATCTATGGCGGATGGGAATTCGCTTCGGCAGGTAGGTAGGAAATCAGGAGAGGTTTTGTTTTGGCAAGAGTTGAATATGTCTCTTTATAGGTATTTATATGTGCATGTGTTCACCTACCGGTGTTTCGAAACTCGTTCTCTGAGGAATTCTCTATGCCATGGAGGTGTAAAGGCTCTGAATACAAGCGAGAAGGGAATCGGGGACGTTGGGGCGCCGACACGATGAGTTGGATTAAAGATCCATCTTGCTTGGCAAATTGAGAGAGCTGTGTATGTATGAGGCACGGGATAAGGGAGGATGGGTAAGGAGAAGAAAGTGCCTAGTCGCCGTAAAGCTAGATCCGTGCTTTAGTTTGAAGACCCAAACAGAGATTTGCAAGATCTTCCGCAAAGAAACAAGACGCAGCTTCCATACATGGGCGCGGTTACCTAGTGCAGTCTGAATCTCTCTGAGCGTAACGCGCTTGGAGAGTAAATCATGGATAGTTCCAGCGATCTCGAAGATACCAACAGGGAGGAAAATATCACAGTACCACCCACACCACCTACAATGAACATTCTTGCCTCCCTCTTTAGCCAAACAACCTTGATAGTGGTAACAAGCCCTAGTCATCGAGATTTTAACACCAGATATAAGCCTTCCTCTCAAGTCCAACGCATGCATGTCCTTCTTCTCGCGAGTTCAGCTCCCAACTCTAATACTCTGGACCCATCGATTATGTACAAGAGCTAGCTTTTCCACATCTCCCATCCTTAGTTCCCCATTCATAAAGGATAGCGAAAGGAATGGCTGGGCACAAAACCCACTTTACGCGGTAAACCAACTTCGGAGGAACTGGACTCACGAGGAGAAGTTTACATGTATGTTGCACGACTTCGCTCGCTAACTTAACCGAAGATATTCGAAAGTAAACAAAACAGGCAAACAAACAAAAAAAAAAAAACCCCTAAGGGATCCAGAAATCGCCCCCCTCCCCCCCCCCCCCTCCTCTCTCTCTAAAAATGGGATACACAAGCAATGTCATTACCCCGCCTTTATTACGCGTAAAATGCCAGCGACGCTTATTTATAGAAGCGTAAATTAAACCCATCCGTAGAATTATCCAGTTGGCAGTCAGTCACCTCGCGAACCCACTGCCAGCGATCGGTAATAAACCACCACAACTCGCTTTTACTCAACTAAACTCTATCCACCCACCACCACCTTCACCCTCCTCATCTTCCCCACCAACCCAAATACCCACCAGCTTCAATCAAAAGCCCGCCAAAAAATGTCGTGATTCGTACACATACACACCCAAGTCCTGGACCCTGAACCCAGTGTTCAGCCCGCGGCGAAGACTCTTGGCTCCTCTCCTCTCCTCTCCTCTCCTCTCCTCTCCCCACCACCACCACCACCATCACCATCACCATCATAGAAATCTCTCCTCAAAATAAATAATACTCTTTTTTTTTTTTTCTAAAACCTAAAACTCGACCGTCTTTCCGAAAAGAGCTTACGTAGCCAACTAACTAAGGAAACAGTCTACTTCATCACACACATACACACACACACACATGCATATATATTAGGTATACAACCCCCACTCCACTAACCCCTTCAATGAAATTCAATCCAATTCACCGCTCATGTACAAACCACACACATACACACATACATACACACATACAACACGGCTCTCATCCGACAAAAACAAAAACCTGCGTTCGAAGTCCAAGAAAGAGAGAAGAGAGAGAGAGAGAGGGAGTCCAGCTCTGAGATTATCTGGCTTAAGCCCTTCACAATTACATATATAGAATTACATATATCTAAATTACATATATCTAAATTACATATATCTAAATTACATATATCTAAATTACATATATCTAAATTACATATATCTAAATTACACATATCTATATCTATATCCATATCTATCTATAACCCCCCCAGCCCCCCCCCCTCCCCCCTCTCCCCTGTCCTACCCCCTATACGCATCATCGAAAGATCGATCTAAAAGAACTAAAAGATAAGATGCGAAAGCCGGGAATGATATCAAGAAGGACGGTGTTGCTTGTGCGACGCTGTTAGCTAGCGGATTTGGAGGGAAAAAAGGAAAAAGGAAAAAGATGCAAGAGAGGGAGAGAGGGAAAGATGCAAAGATGCAAAGAAAGACCAAGCGATAAACAAACGACAGTCTCTCTCTCTCTCCCTCTCTCGGTACATACAACACGCACGGCATTCAGCGGAGGTTTGAGGACAAATGATCATCTGCAACAGCTCCTCTATTTTTTGGCTGGCCTACCTACTTACTATATATACTACCTGCTTGCCTGCTTGCTACACAGCTCACCATCAAAACCATATTCAACATGCGGTATTTGTCAAGGAAACAGAGGCAGCTTTTTTACCGAGAGAAAATTCCCCTCCCAAGACCACGACCACGCCTACGCCCGCGCGACGCTTCTCGTCGAATCTGTCCCAATTTTCGTATGTATGCAAACTATAACCTGACTAGGAATTGTAGAAATTAACAAAGGAACCAATCGTGTCACATTCACTTATTACATAGAACCCAACTCCATCACGCCTGGTACCCCATCCCTAGGACCATCCGAAATAGCCTCGTGTGCCCACGCAGAATAGCAAGCTAGCCAGCCCAGATACTATCAAAAGTACCTATAATAGAATTAGGTAATTCGACGGCGCGATACCCGTATCCCCACATTCCTTCTTCGCTTGCCACCACCTGCCGCTGACATCCGACACCTCTAGAATCTCGTGCTTGGAGAAGGATATCTCGTTGGCGTCGTCAGGGTTGGCCTCGTACGAGTAGATGGCCTTCGCACGGTACGGGTATTCCGTGGGCGCCACCACATCTCCAGGGCCTTGCCGCTGGTCGTCCATGCCCATGCCCGGATGACTGTTTGATGCCATGGTCCCGTTGCCAAATCTCGCTTGAGATGACCTGCGGTCTGTTCCAAGTGCTCCACCTGCGAACCCTGCGACGGGCGAGGATGTCTCGAATCCACCGAGTTGGGCAGATGTGTACATCTGGGGAGGGATGTTCGAGGTTGCGGAGGTATCGGGTCTGCCGGTTCCGTAGCTGCTGGTCATTCCTCGCCCGCCTTGCGAGGTTCTGTGGTCTTTGTGGAGGGCGAAGGAATCGAGGTACGCCCGGGGTACGGCGGAGGGGGTTGATCCAAAGTAGAAGATCCATACAATCTATCCAGGTCAGTAGGAGCCCGTTCAAGAGGGTGGTTTCAGCTCATACATTAACCATGGAGAGTAGAATGTGTCCAGCGGCAGTAGCTTCCTTGGCACCGTTCGCAGCGTAGATCAACGAGTTGACGGAGGAGCTGGTCAACACCAAGCCGCACGCAAGGTACCCAACGATGGCGACATGGTAGGTCTGCGTAGTATCCGATGCGATGACCACAAATACCCCAATTATGCAGCACAGCATATATGAGATGGCAAACCAGGAGTAGTTGGGAAAAGAGTTATCGAGTTTCTGAGAAGTCGCGATAACGGAGCCTATGAAGGCAATAAACCAAGCAAGCTGTCGGTCCAACGTTTGTTAGCGAAGCCCTCCCATTAGGTTTCTTGAGATTTCTCGTGGCAGAATCACCCAGACCTACCATAGCAATAGAAACCGTCGCCAGCGCGAAAGGGTCGCCCAGTATATTATCCATGCTCATGGTCCGCATACCGCCCGTCCTTCGCCCCTTCATGTCCATGCCGCCGTTCATTTTGCGGAGTGATGGCGATTGCAGCGATCCGTACGTTGGCATAAGATTGGGGACGACGGTGGGGAGGCCCAAGTCTCTTTTGCAGGCGGGAGTATGCAGTTGGCGACCGAGTTTGAACGTCTACTCAGTGAGTGCTGGGCACGTAGGAGCAAGAGGGTAGCGGGAAGGATGGTCTGTCTGGTGGGTGGGTAATTGTTTCCAGACGATGATAGTCGTGGCGGTGCCGTGACGGGAGTCCGGGGGTTGGGAGGATGGTACTCTATTGCTGGCAAAAATATGTACTGGATCGAAGCGGGGAGCAAAGTGGTCGTTGAATAACACGCAATGTCGATTACCTGTCGAGCAAAGGAGGGAATGGAAAGAAAATAGAAGGAGCGTAAGGTCGAGGTCGAGGTCGAGGTCGAGGTCGAGGTCGTGGTCGTGGTCGTGGTCAAGATTTCGAGGTTCGAGGTTCGAGGTATCCAGTCCAGTCCAGTCCAGTCGGCCGAGATTGGGAGCAAGGGAATGTAAGTTGTCGAAACGACCAAAAGATGATGCCTTCGTGGTGGATGGACGATGAGTCGGTGGACGATGAATCAATGGACGTGCCTCGTGGGTTGGGAGAGAATGCAGAGTGAGGAAAAAGGGTGGGTACGATACGAACTAGTCTCTGGGGTACGTAGACTGGTCCGGGTGGGCAATTCAGTTGGTAGTAGTAAGTATCGGATCGGAGGTACTACGTATAAGCGGTCGATGCGTGCGCGGGCGATGACAGATAGATCTTTGCAAGGCGAAATTGTAGAGCTGCACTGTGCTGAGAGAGGAGATGCCGGTACCTGCTCCGTAGAGAGACAGAGTGGGGGGGGGGGGGGGAGAGGGAGAGAGAGGGAGAGAGAGTGACAAAGAGAGTGAGTGACAGAGTGACAGAGTGACAGCGAGAGAGAGAGAGAGAGAGAGAGAGAGAGAGAGAGAGAGAGAGAGAGAGAGTAG